TGAATATGGCAAGTTTCAGCTTGAAGCACAGAATTTCAGCTCCGGGACGATTTTCAACACCTGCAGGATGATTGAAGGGCCTTTCCTGGACTTGCTGGCCCAAGTACCAAGAATGAGCAAGCGCCAATGGGCCATCGGCCCGTTCAACCCGGTAACCCTACCCGCTTCCGGTGACCCGCGCCATGAATGTCTCGCCTGGCTGGACAAACAGGACCGGAATTCGGTGATCTTCGTCTCGTTTGGATCCAATACTGCACTATCTGAGGAGCAGATAAATCAGATCGCTGATGGGCTGGCGGAAAGCGGGCAGAGGTTTATTTGGGCCCTAAGGGAAGCAGATAAAGCTGACATTTTTGCCGCCGGAGATGCTGAGAGGGCCGTCCTGCCGGCGGGATACGAGGCGAGAATCGCAGGGAAGGGAATGGTGGTGAGGGATTGGGCGCCGCAGCTGGAGATTCTCGCCCACGAATCCACCGGCGGGTTCATGAGCCACTGTGGGTGGAATTCGTGTATGGAAGCCATTTCCATGGGAGTGCCGATCGCCGCCTGGCCGGTGCACTCCGACCAGCCCCGGAACGCCCTTCTGATCACCAAGTGCCTGAAAATCGCAGTGGAAGTTGATGACTGTAGCACGCAGGAAATGGTCAGCTCACAGAGGATTGCAGAAGCTGTTAACAAATTGATGGTTTCCGCGGAAGGAGAAGGAATGCGGCGGAGGGTGGAAGAAATGAGCGGCGCCGTCAAGCTTGCGGTGATGGAAGGAGGTGCCTCGCGCAGAGAAATGGATTCCTTCATTTCTCATATCACTAGAGACGACTGACTGACGATGATTGCCCTGTTTTAGTTCGTTTTTGTCTATTTCCTAGAAATGGATTCTTTCAGTTCTCATTTTTCTATTTACACTCTACACTATACACCCGTTTTGTCTCATAAAAGCGGGCGTAATCCCATTCTGGATAACGCCTGTTATAATAAGTCCGTGCTGTAGTTGCAATTTAGCATCCCATTTCGAGTAAGTCAACTCGGACAATATACTCTGTCCCAAAATTATTGTTGCGTTTTCCTTTTCTGTCCGTAACGAAATAATTATCTTATTTCTTTACCTTTCTTATTTGGTAAATAAATCTATATCAAACAGTGTCAAATAGTGCAAAACAGTGTCAAATAATGTTGCTACAGTGCCAAACAGTTGTGCTACAGTGCCAAACAGTTGCGTAACAGTGTCAAACAGTGTCACTACAATGTCATTTTCTTCATCTGTGTGAAAAACCAAACGGGGCAATAATTTTGGGACAGAGGGAGTATTAATTTTTTAGCGTTCTGTGCGTATTTACTTAGTTGATTAATTTTTTCTGTAATATAACATTGTCAATATATTCATCCAACAATTTCTTTTAATTAAAGCCTCGCTTTTATTATTACACATCAATTTTTTGTATGTATAATTATGATTTAAAAAGTTGAAAATTCTAATGTAAAAATACATAAATTTAGAATTTAATTTTGTTGTTTTTAAATAACACCTATCAAAAAAAATATTTGATAAATGTAAAAGGAATATTTTAACCATTAGATCTTAATTTTAACACTTGAATCTATTAATTTAAATATGAAAATATCTAGCAACTAAATTTTCGTATATATTCATTTATTTATTATATATTCAATATTATTGTCATATGAAACATCATAAAAATTATGAATTTCTTTATTTTTTCATATAAAAACTAAATTCAAATAAAAAGGTTATACTCCATCCGGTTTTTAATAAACTTCACACTTTCCTTTTTGGGACGTTCTAAAATAAACTTCACACTTCCTTATTTCCTTTTTTTGGCAAAGAAATCTACATCAAAACAGTGCCAAACAGTGTCTCAATAGTGTCAAATAGTATCTCAACAGTGTCAAACAGTGTCTCAACAGTGTACTCTACAGTAAAATCAAATTTCTTTTCTTATTTTGTGTGAAATCAAAGTGTGAAGGACTGAAGGGGAGACCAAGCCTGCAACAGTCAGCATTCAAACAATGGAGCGGGTGAAAAGGTGGACAAACTCCGTTAACTCCCCATCCATGGATTCTCCCTATCCATTGTGGCACCTTGCTATACCATATTTTCTGTTGGGTTGGAGCTACTTTGGGGTGAAAACTTCAAACTTGTGGTTTTCAACCCTACCATTGCAGTTAGTCTTAGGAGCTCTTCGATTGACGATTCGTCTTAATTCTTACTCATTATCCAATTTTATAAGATATCTTTATTATTCACTCGGTCAACACAAATCACTCTTAATCTCTTATTTTATATAACAAAATTTTATGAAATTTGAATTATTTTTTGCAGATTTTGTAACGGTTTTAATGTAGTTTCTGAATATGTAACTTTTTTTCCTAAAAATAATTTGAGTGCAGACAGGGATCTGTTTGCTTTATCGTCGGTCAAACATCGTAAACAAAAAAATATCTTATAATTCGGGACGGAGGGAGTATTAATTAATTCTTAATTTATTTAAATTGGATCGGGCCAGATCAGAAAGATTCAGATAAGATTAAAAAGATTCAGATCAAATCAATCTAAATCCGAAAGATTCAAACCAAATTAGAAAGATACAAATCATACCAGAAATATTCAGATCAGATTAAAAAACTTAAGACAAGATTTGTCACTTTTTTATGAAAAGATTTATCACTTTAATAATAATAATACTCAATAATTAAATATTTGCAATGAATGATACATACTAAAAAAATAAAGTCACTTGAAATCAGGGGCAGAGTTAGGGCACTAGGCCCGACTAGGTCGGTATAAAGGATTTTTTTGAAAAAATGTTACACCAAACCTTTTACTTTAAAAATTAAAGCAGTTTTTAAATTTGGGATGAGTTGGGGTCTAGGTTGCCCCCCCTCTCCTCCGCCCCTTCTTAAAAACTATAGAATCTAATTAAAAAATCAATATTTCTGGGGTAATGGATTTTAAAGTTATTTTTGATAAAAAAGAAGGGAAAATCGCATACATGGTCCCTCAGTTATCCATGAAATTAAAATCTCAGACCTATATTTCTGAGATTGTAAATGTCACCCCTCAATTGTCCAAATTAGTGTAAATGTGGTCCTTTAAGTAGTGAAATGTACTCTCGCCCACATTGTATATACACCAACAATAGTTATGATAATTATATGTGGAAAATACTCACCACGTATAAATGAAATTTTAATTATATGGTAGTAGTAATTTACATATATACTCAATTACTCATGACTCATCTATACGTGATTGCTCAATTTATTCGTAGAAGGTAATCAATTCTATCGGTATTAAATATTCTTTTCTAATGTAGGAAATTCATATGATATTTAATTGAATTACCTGATTACCTCTACATGATATGCACCACACCACTTGACGTAGTTATATCATTTAAAATTTATAAAAACGTACTCCGTATATGTTATAATTACTTCTACGTATCGGAAAATTAAACTCTATGATGAAAGCAATTAACAATTGGGTCGTATATCTCATATCTGGATAATTGAAGCATCACATAATTTTTGTTTAAAAATGATAGGATTTGACTCTTTGAGGCGGTGGAGATTCAATTTCCTCATCATTTTTTTGTATGTATATTACTATATTTTGGCGCAGTTATTTGCTAAAAAATTATTTAACTGTCTTATCGATTGAATTTTTTGCTCAAATTTTGTGGACATATTCTACACTTTCACGAGGAAAATGCTCAAATAAATTAATAAAAAAACCACTCCAAAACAAGGTCCGGCCCCGCCGGACAGACAGGAATACCACTCATGTATGTAGTATATAAAATTGACCATGAATGCTGAGTAACAACTAATGGTGTTCATTAATTTAATAATGTGTACGTTTTGTATTTATTTTCACCTAATTGAAGAATTTATAAGAAATTAATGTATGAAATAAATATAGGTAATTGCATATTTATGATTACAAATAGTTTTTTTTAATGTGACTTTTTAAGTTTACTAATTTTTATATAGTAGTACTTTTAATCTGTTGCTAAAAAGATATACGTAGTAGTAACTTTAATCATACTCGAATGTGTTCAATATTCACATTATAATATAATACTACCTCCGTCGCATTAACATTAGGACAAGAAGGGTGACACGATTATTAACAAAAAGTGAATGTATGTCATTGATATTGAATTGGTAAAGTAAGATAAAGTAAAACTGATTTAGAGTCATACAAATTTTACCAAATTTGACATGAGACAATCTTAATCGGATTTCGCGAAAAGGAAAAATGGGACAATCTAGGCGAGACAGGGGGAATAATAACTTTAGGGGGATTAGACTTTGCATCCCACTTTTTAGATGATATTAGACTTTGCATCCCATTTTGAAATAACTTTGATTTTGCACGTAAACACAAAACATTTTGTGAAGAAACATTTCTGAATGGGGTTCAAAGTCAAAGGTTTTTTAATTAAAGGAGTGTTTGCACTTCCTTAAAAAAAGTGCTTTTGAGCTTTTGGATTAAAAAAAGCTGAAAAGAGTGTTTTCAAATGACAGCTTCTGCTTAAATTAATCACTTTAAAGCTAAAAGTTGGAAGTAGGTGGAAGGGTGCTTTAAACTGCTTTTCACTTTTTCTATTACTCAAAAAGCACTTATTTTACCAAACACTACCAACTTTTACTTTTTCAGAATCACTTTTTTCTCAAACACTACCAACTTTTACTATTAAGTACTTTCTCCAAAATCACTTTAAAACATCACTTTTTTAAAGTAGAAGCAATCGCAAACACTCCCTAAGTAGAATGGGGTGCAAAGTCAAAGTTTTTTTAAAATGTAGTGCAAAGTCCAATATCACCCAAAAAGTGGAGTGCAAAGTCAAATTCTCCCTAACTTTAGTCATAGTCACTCTATATGTCAAAATGTCATTTAGATTTTAGCATGAGCCAAGGATAATATTTTTCTCATGGAAATTGATTATAGTTCACTCATTTTCACAATTTCATGTCAGAGGCATCATTGGTTCCGTTCTTCATATTTTGCTCAATCACTGGAGTTATTGAGCACCTTTAAGTCTCCAGCTGACATCAAATCACTAACTAGTCGATTTGCCTGCTATAAAACCGTGCTTATTCATGCTGTCAAGGTATATACTCCACACTTAACTGTTTGTAGTGTGTTCTTCTGATAACTTATCTATTTCTGATGCATCTTGTAGGAAAATTTGGATGAGCAGAACACACAAGCTTTTGTTATTCTCAATGAGATTATACTTGCACTGAAAGAAGTAAGAATTTTAAATGTAGTTTATTGGTCCAATGCTAAGTTATAGCTTCATTAGATGTAGTATGACCATATGAGAGCATATCATTATTGATACAGGGTCTGTGTTAGAAAGTTATGATATTGATTATAAGACAAATAAGGAATAGGCAATCATCACGTAAATGGAGTAGAATCTTTTCTTCAACTTAAGATTGAAAGTTTACATGGTCAAAAAAAAAGATTGACCATCTGTTTTGTATGGGACTTCTATTAATATGTGTTTCATATGTGAAAGTTGCAAACAGATATATCTAATACATTGTCATATTCTCATGTTTTCTTCTTTATCAATCTTATGTACCAGTGTACCACATATAAGTATTTGTGGCATTGCCATATTTTCTTTTCTATTTGAACATGAATGTTCCAATATTGTCCTATGCATTAAATTTTACTGTAGCATCCAACAACTTTTTACTGCGACATATAACACATTTGTAATTGTTATAAGCTGATTATTTTTATTGTATTATTTGTATGCAGTCCAACGAAGAAAGTAGAAAAGCTGCCTATGATGTACTTACAAAGATATGTTCTTACATGCGAAAGTCTTCTTCTGGCATGCCTCAGGAATCTTATAAAAATTTCATCACTATGGTATTACATCAATGGCATTCTTTGTAATTGAGCTTTGAAACTTGTAGAGTTTTTTGCATGTTTTCTGGACTTCAGTATATGGTTTCATTATGCATTTGTATCTATGCAATATGGAGCTCAATATTCTGTTAAAAGGAAACGATATCTCTCTTAACTTTAGAAAATGAACTTGTCATTCAGAGTGTCCCGGAAGATAAAAGGGTGGAAGTTTTTATAAAAATAGATAGCATCTGTTAGATCTCCGTGAAGGGAAAAACCCTCTTCAAGGTTTGAAATTTCTCAACAGTGCGACCTTTAATATGTGCAGGTTATGGGTTACCTTTCTGGTCCCTCTCCTCAGATAAAAAGTGGTGCAATTTCTGCATTGTCTGTCCTGATTTACAATGACTCAGATATCTGGAAATTAGTGCCTGATCTAGTCCCTTCAGTTCTTGCTCTGCTGCAAAGTAAAGGTGTTGAAATTATAAAAGTGAGTGAACCATGGCCTTTCACCATATAACACTATACCATCTTTTTTTTTGTGCAATTATGTGTCTGAAAATACAATTTCGGGGCAGGCTGTTTTAGGCTTTGTGAAGGTATTAGTATCAAGCCTTCAATCAGATGACCTGAAAATGCTCCTTCCAGATATTGTTAATGGAGTTCTACCTTGGTCAGTTACTTCCCGTCATCATTTCAGATCAAAGGTGTGCCTATTCTTTGTTTATATGGGTGGCACTATATATTATGAGCAGCATACATAGCAGAATATATGAACTGTTCATTCTGTATGCATTATGGTCAATTTGTCAGTTCCAGTGTGTCCAACTCATTTTAATCTGTTGATGAAACCATTATACTGTACCTTTCAGTATCAACTTATTCAGCAACATGGTTTGCGCTATACAGACTAATTTTTCCCAACCCTTTTAATCTTTTGATGGGTTATATTTTTTGGCTCCAAATTTAGGTCGGTGTTGTGATGGAGATTCTTGCGAGGAAATGTGGTACTGGCACTATCAAATCAATTGCATCAGAAAAATACAAAAACTTTCTCAAGACTGTCTTTGATGTACTCTTTTTTTCTCTTTATCCCAACATATTTTACTATTCCAGCTGTGGTTGTGTATAATTGATGCATTTTGATACAGAACCGTCATGGCAAGACAAGTGTTAAAGAAGCTGCAAACTCATCAGCTTCCTTGAAGGGGTCTGTCTACTTTCCATCTCCTAGTAAATCAAATACAGCTGTTAGCTCTTTTAAATCAAAGACTGCACAAATAATTAACTGGCAGGGTTCCATTGGTTTCAGGGAAGGAAAGAGTGGGGGCCATGGAGACTCTGAGAGTTCACAGAGTAGCAAGAAGAGGAAATGGGAGAACAGACAAAAAGATGTCACTGATAACATTCCCAAGGAAGATGAAAAAGCTTTCATGGGACCTAGAAAAAGGAAGAAGTCAGAGGCTGATCTGTCTACAAGCAAAAGGAAGAAGTTTTCTGGTAGCAGCATTACTTCTAGTAAAGTAGCAAAAAGAGGGGAAGGAAAACGGGTTCCTGCCAAACATGAAACAAGAAACAGTAAGGAGAAGAAGAATCCTAGCCAAGGTGGTGGGAGCAGAACTCATTACAAGAAAGTGCAGAAGAAACGGCAGTAAAATATCATGACAGGAAACACCAAACTTGGAATTCAGCAGCTAATTAAAGCTTCTGAGAGGCAAGAGGGGAGTACTTCAGAAATGAAATGTAATACTATTAGAGAGTTGTTCACAATTTCACATTCATTTCTCAATCGATTTCAGACCCTGTATTTATTATGTTTAGATTATTATGGAAAACTATCAATTTACTGAGCTTATATTCTCAAAACTATAATATTAAAACTATCACTTAAGTGAGCTTACATTATTAGAAATTGGAAAATATGTATTGTAAGAAAAAATAAGACTTCATAAATATTGTTTGGGAAAAGGGTCATATAGGGTCATTTAGGTCCCGGGTTCGAATCACGGCAACTGCGATGAGAGGTTATTATGCTAAAAATGCATAGGGCCTCTGCAAGTACCGGGGACGGAGCCACACTCTCTATCTGTCAGATTGTGATTATAGTCCAATTTACATCCTCTCAAAGTGCCGTTCATTCGGTGTTGGGGGGCCCTCAAGGATGGGGTGTCATCCTTTTGTTTTGGAAAAGGGTTATATAGGCTCTTGTACTTACATAAAAAGGTCAAATAACCCCTTATATAGGAGGCTCTGTCCGGCCGTCGTCATTTGGGACAGTTCTCGTGGAATTTTTTGATAAATTTTTTTGAGCGTCTTTTCATTAATTCTAGTTTACTCTTACCAAATTTCAGATAAAACTTCAATCGGGAAGGCATTCAAATGAATTCTTGAAGAAAAACTCAATTGACGGTATTAGTGGGTTACTTCCATGTTTTCAATATGAATTTCAGAGGTGTCAAGTACATGAAATATAATTTATTTACCCCCCGTTTTTTCATATTTATTTTCCAACTACGCTAGTTTTACTTCCACCCTTCTATCTATTTATGGATTACTCAGAAGGTCAACATATCCTAGAAGTGTCAAATGTCAAGCACCTCTCGCCTTTCTCTCTCCATCTAGTGCGAATCATCTTCGTACAAAACTTTTCACCACCGCTACACTACTCTTGTAAAGGCTGTCGGTGCTCAGGTAGTGGATTGTGGTAATGTCCCAAACGGGATTTGAGGGCCTCCGACACATGTTACCATCATTGGGATGCTTGCGTTCCTGACCATCTTGAACCTCTAATTGCAATGGAGATATAACATTTGCTAATTTGGGCTCAATTTCAGATCTACATCTTCAATTTTTAAATAATACGTAGTATATATCTATGAAGAACGGAAATAAGCAAAAAATGCAAAATTCTTCTCTATCATTTCTTAGGTAGACCACATACACACACATGTGCCAAATTGAGAGTGCCAAATTGAGGAGGGAGTATACACACACAAGGTCTGGTTCCAATAGAAAGTGGTTTTCCATGAAAAATGCGAACGCCTTCACTTTTAGTCATCTGAAGTGCACAATCATAGTTAGATAATTTTCGCCATCCACTTTTGCTTATCCACGGTATACTTTTGCACATAGGAAGTTTACTTTTTTCAAAGAAGAAAAAATTTGATTTATTGACAAAAATGCCACCACGTTTTAATCAAATTTAATGCATTTTTGACATATTTAAAGCCATTAGATCGTAGATTCGATGCACCAGATTCATTCCTACTTTATTAAAATCAGATTATAATTTAAAAAGTTAAATAATTTTCAACTAAAGAACATTATATATGATTCTTGACCATTTCACCCTTTATTAATTGCACGTTCCTATTTTTGGTTGTACGCCACATGTTGTGTGAGAAAGTCCATCTTATTATTGTGCACCAATGTCTTAATAACCGGTCATTTAATAAGATGGTTGGATAGGATTTGTTCTCCCTTTTCATAAGAATTTTCATAAGAAGGAGTGTTCTCATTCGAACCACTCCATAAGAGAGCGGTTCTGGTGATTAATGACTCTCGGGAGAGAATGAGAAAGAAATCCAACCTTCAATCATCCTACTCCAATGGTCTAGAAATATTTAAAAAAGAAGAAATTGATGCATTATTTTCGGAGGATTCAAGTAGTATATAGAAAAACATGCATCTTAACCATTACAAAAGAACATAATGGTAAAAGTGATCAAGATTGTTATCTTGATCACGAGTGTTATTTTTAAAATAATACGGAGTACATGGTAGTGCCATAAAGTGTTGGCAGCCCACCGTGCCGCGAAGGTGGCTGCTTAGTAAAAAAATGATTTTTATGGTCTTAACAATAAAAATAAAACATATTCACTATTTATGTAAAGTAATTGAGCAATTAGACTCCTTGTTTCATTGTTTACATTGAAACAAAAAACATATTCACTAGTTATGTAAAGTAATCGAGCAATTAGACTCCTTGTTTCATTGTTTACATTGAAATCAATGTTTTATGTCTTATACTCCTTTTTAGACAAGTTATATATCGACTTGCCTGCAGTTACATTTTCTTTTCAACATGAGTTACACTTCTTGACACGCAAGTTACATCACGTACTGGGACAAGAAAAGAAGTGATCAAGATTTTTATCTTGATCATGCGTGTTATTTTTAAAATAATACATGGTAGTGCCACAAAGTGTTGGCAGCCCACGGTGCCACGAAGGTGAGTGCTTAGAAAAAAAAAATTGAGTTTTTATGGCCTAACAATAAAAACAAAACATATTCACTATTTATATAAAGTAATCGAGCAATTAGACTCCTTGTTTTATTGTTTACATTGAAACAAAACATATTCACTATTTATGTAAAGTAATCGAGCAATTAGACTCCTTGTTTCATTGTTCACAACTTCACATTGAAATCAATGTTTTATGTCTTAAACTCCGTATTAGACAAGTTATATTTCGACTTGCCTGCAATCACATTTTCTTTTCAAGGTGAGTTACACTTCTTGGCACACAAGTTACATCACCCTGGTACTGGGACAAGAAAAAAACAAGAAAAATTTGTTCATGCGGGTTTTAACTGTGGGGATCCATCGAGCAATACGAGGGGAGAGAGGAGCGGCGAAGGGGAACCCTAGCCGCCGCCTCCTCTTCCTTCTTCTCTTGTCTTCTTTTGACTTCAATGATGGAAAAATTTCGTTTAATCAGTATTTTCAGTTCTATCTATACGTTTATTTCCCAGCGTTGCCTAGAGATATTATTTTCGGTGGCGAAGTGTCACTCGCCAGATCTTTATTCCCCACCATCATCGGTCGGGTGTTCTTGTGTGCTAGTAATAGGTTTGTATTGGCTTCTTTATCAATCATGAATCAGGATTTATTTTGCATTGATATAGAGGCCGATCGCCAGGGGCGGAACCAGCCTAGTGCCCGGAGGTGCTCGTGCCCCTGCAGTGATTTTTTATATATATAACATATATATACATATATTAATATTTAATTAGTTGAGCCCCTGCAGCCTAATCCCAAAAGCCCTTTACCTTAGCCCTTTCCCTTGTGCCAGCCCAATCCCAAAATTCCTTTCATGGGGCAGCCCACAGCACAACTCCCCGAAAGCCAAAACGCCAAGACCCCAAGTCCCAACTCAAGCAGTCTGCCCCTGCGTAACTAAGTTCAAGCTATAACGACGGAAATTAAAAGCGAGTCAACGTTCCACTACAAGAAAAAAGCTAAATTGCAATGCACATTTTCATTGCAAAATGTCCAATTTCCGTTGCAATTTGTGTTTTGCAACAACAAATGCAATGGACGAAATTCCGTTGCTATAAGCGTCGTTGCAATTATTTGCAACGCTAGTTCAATCCGTTGCAATGTTATGCAACGGAAAAAGCAACACATGTATTTCCGTTGCATTTGATTTGCAACAACCTTATTTTGTTGCATTTTCCATTGCTAATATTGCAATGAGTTTTTCCATTGCAAAATAATGCAATGGAACTTCAGTTGCAATTTCAGTTGCACGGTTTGCAACAAAATTGTATACCTTATTGCAAATTACGTTGCAAAGTTGCAATGGATTCAACGGTAGTTAAATATATTTCGCATTGCAATTTCCATTGCAAAAGTGCGATGAAATGATTTTTTGTTGCAATGTTAATGACCGAATTGCAATAAATGTTCATGGCAAGTTTCTATTGCACAAATTTTCGAAAAACAATCACGAACCTACTTTTTTTTGCAGCCTGTATAAATTAATATTTTTACACCACACAACAGTAGAACTAGGTCATAACAAAAATGAATATCAATAGTACTGTCTCAAATAATAATAAAAATTCATAAACTATAAAGAATTGGTTGTCTGATCTCCCGGTAACAATAGTAATGTCTCAAATAATGAATACGTCTTTAAGAATACTACTAATCAAATGACTAATTAAAACTGACCATCTCATCATAATAAGAACTCTATCTATTACGAATCAATGTTTCAATTTGTTCTTGTAAAGCACGGATGACATCATCTGTTTTTTTTGCTTTTCTTCCGCTTGTTGTTGAAATTCCTTCTGTTGTTTCAAATGTTTTTTGCTCCGTCCTCTTCTCCTATAAATGATGGAGTTTCCATCAATTTAGCTTTGGAGCTTCATTAACGACTACCTATAACTTATCTATGGTAGATGCAAATGGCGAGGTAATGAATAAATGAGTGTTCGCTTGAGTGCCGTGAGTTTTACTCTTTCGAGGAACAAATCATGTGTCGTTAGTTAGTTGTAAAACTATATTTTTGGAGATCTGCATTAAGTCTTGTGATCAATTAACCTCAATAGAAATAACTAAAGAAAAAGGATTTTTCGAAGTGCAATTTATAGATAGAATTGTGATTAATGTTACTATTGATCATTGTTCTAAAAATCGGTTCAATTAATTGGCATCTAATCTAGACAATCTTATATGTAAAGGACTAATCGACCTAACCGATCAAAAACATCACCCTAATCCGGTGCCTAGCTAGGCACTAGCCCCTCAATCGTTCGACTAGCGCCTAACGAGTTTTAAAACCATGCTATTGAAATAATGTTACAGTCGTTACAGTATATATTTGAACATAATAGTGGCCATTAAATGCATTATAGTAATCAATAAAGTATAAACGAATGTATTTGAATGCCTCCGCTATTATCATATGTTCTTTCCATCCATAAATAATCTGCAAAGTCATTGTCAACACAATTTTACTTTATCTATTCATTTAGCATGTCATTTTTTAATTTTAATTTGGATTTTATGATTTTATATACCCTCTGTTCTATTTTAAGATTCCCACTTTTCTTTTTGGGATGTCCTATTTAAACATTCTCATTTTCATTTTAGGAAATAATTAATAGTCTTGAATGACAATTTAATAATCAAGTATTAAAAATAATACATCTATAACATTACATATACAATCTGACCTCATTATATTATATAACCATCAAAATTATTTCTCAAAATATACTAGAATTACCATATTTAATTATTGTCCAAATAAACTGTACCATTTTGCAATTTGCATGGGATGAAGGTAGTAACTTTCAATGTAGATTCAAAGACTCCATATGCAAATTTTAATTATAAAAAGTTAAAAACTGATGTAACTATACGCCGAGATGTTTAACTTTATCGTCATTTATTTAACCTTAAAATCCACAACGTGCAATTAAATTCAAGACAAAAGAAGTATTCGTCATTTAACCCTCCAATATATTACGTAGTATCAATAAATGGACTAATATTTTTAAGTCACATGCACTTTCACTCATGTATTTACAAATTTGTAACTTTTCAGAAAAAGGATGACACATCAACACCCCGTCTTTGAAGGCCCCTAACACCGATCGGACAATTAACTGAAAGGATCTAAATTGAACATTAATCACAAACCTAATAGATAACGAGTGGTGTTTTGGTATAAGTACTTACAGACTTTATGCATTTTTAGTAATTTGTCATCACAGTAATTCGAATTGGAACTCGAGACTTAACACTTGTAATACTCTATCTACCACATGAGCTACGTCCACCCGTCAATTTTTCTTTCTAGTTTGTCTTGTAACCGAGAAGTACTCTCTTTTTGACATTTTATTGTTCAAAATATTCAATGGACTATGATTTATAGAAAAACGAAATAGTCATACTTTTTCAGAAAATAATGGTAAAGACATGTCACTCACTCGTAATAAGTGACGTTCTGAGATGGTAATCCTAGTCTTTAATTTATTTAAAGAGAGATATTATAGATTTGTTGCATATAGAAATAATTCCTCAGAAGCTATAAATATCGCCTAAACTGAGCCATTTTGGAAACAGTTATCTACGCACAAAAAAGAAGCTATAAGCATGGCAGGATCAGCAGCTAAAGTGCCAGTGGCCGTAGTTATGGTGCCTCTTCCAGCACAGGGCCATCTCAACCAGCACCTCCACCTCTCCCGCCTCATCTCTTCCTACAACCTCCCCGTCTACTACACCGGTGCCACCACTCACATCCGCCAAGCCAAGCTCAGAATCCAGGGATGGGATCCTCTCTCCGTCCCAACCCTCAATTTCCACGAGTTCCCCACGCCTTCTTTCGAATCCCCTACCCCCGACCCCAATGTGAGAGCCCCGGTGCAACTAGTGCCGGGACTGCTCGCCACCCTACGCCTCCGAGAGCCCCTCCGTCAATTCCTGGAGGAGCTCTCGGAGAAATCAAAGAGGGTGGTCGTCATTTACGACTTCTGGATGGCTTGGAATGTCCAGGACATTCCGAGCATCCCGAACGCAGAGTCGTATTGCTTTGAAAGCCTTTCGGCTTTCTCGGTCTACTCCTTCATCTGGGAGGGAATGCAGAAACCGCCTCTTCCCGCAGAAGCTGAAGTGCTCAACCAACTTCCCAATTTAGACTTCTGCGTTTCGCCCATCTTTGATGAATATGGCAAGTTTCAGCTTGAAGCACAGAATTTCAGCTCCGGGACGATTTTCAACACCTGCAGGATGATTGAAGGGCCTTTCCTGGACTTGCTGGCCCAAGTACCAAGAATGAGCAAGCGCCAATGGGCCATCGGCCCGTTCAACCCGGTAACCCTACCCGCTTCCGGTGACCCGCGCCATGAATGTCTCGCCTGGCTGGACAAACAGGACCGGAATTCGGTGATCTTCGTCTCGTTTGGATCCAATACTGCACTATCTGAGGAGCAGATAAATCAGATCGCTGATGGGCTGGCGGAAAGCGGGCAGAGGTTTATTTGGGCCCTAAGGGAAGCAGATAAAGCTGACATTTTTGCCGCCGGAGATGCTGAGAGGGCCGTCCTGCCGGCGGGATACGAGGCGAGAATCGCAGGGAAGGGAATGGTGGTGAGGGATTGGGCGCCGCAGCTGGAGATTCTCGCCCACGAATCCACCGGCGGGTTCATGAGCCACTGTGGGTGGAATTCGTGTATGGAAGCCATTTCCATGGGAGTGCCGATCGCCGCCTGGCCGGTGCACTCCGACCAGCCCCGGAACGCCCTTCTGATCACCAAGTGCCTGAAAATCGCAGTGGAAGTTGATGACTGTAGCACGCAGGAAATGGTCAGCTCACAGAGGATTGCAGAAGCTGTTAACAAATTGATGGTTTCCGCGGAAGGAGAAGGAATGCGGCGGAGGGTGGAAGAAATGAGCGGCGCCGTCAAGCTTGCGGTGATGGAAGGAGGTGCCTCGCGCAGAGAAATGGATTCCTTCATTTCTCATATCACTAGAGACGACTGACTGACGATGATTGCCCTGTTTTAGTTCGTTTTTGTCTATTTCCTAGAAATGGATTCTTTCAGTTCTCATTTTTCTATTTACACTCTACACTATACACCCGTTTTGTCTCATAAAAGCGGGCGTAATCCCATTCTGGATAACGCCTGTTATAATAAGTCCGTGCTGTAGTTGCAATTTAGCATCCCATTTCGAGTAAGTCAACTCGGACAATATACTCTGTCCCAAAATTATTGTTGCGTTTTCCTTTTCTGTCCGTAACGAAATAATTATCTTATTTCTTTACCTTTCTTATTTGGTAAATAAATCTATATCAAACAGTGTCAAATAGTGCAAAACAGTGTCAAATAATGTTGCTACAGTGCCAAACAGTTGTGCTACAGTGCCAAACAGTTGCGTAACAGTGTCAAACAGTGTCACTACAATGTCATTTTCTTCATCTGTGTGAAAAACCAAACGGGGCAATAATTTTGGGACAGAGGGAGTATTAATTTTTTAGCGTTCTGTGCGTATTTACTTAGTTGATTAATTTTTTCTGTAATATAACATTGTCAATATATTCATCCAACAATTTCTTTTAATTAAAGCCTCGCTTTTATTATTACACATCAATTTTTTGTATGTATAATTATGATTTAAAAAGTTGAAAATTCTAATGTAAAAATACATAAATTTAGAATTTAATTTTGTTGTTTTTAAATAACACCTATCAAAAAAAATATTTGATAAATGTAAAAGGAATATTTTAACCATTAGATCTTAATTTTAACACTTGAATCTATTAATTTAAATATGAAAATATCTAGCAACTAAATTTTCGTATATATTCATTTATTTATTATATATTCAATATTATTGTCATATGAAACATCATAAAAATTATGAATTTCTTTATTTTTTCATATAAAAACTAAATTCAAATAAAAAGGTTATACTCCATCCGGTTTTTAATAAACTTCACACTTTCCTTTTTGGGACGTTCTAAAATAAACTTCACACTTCCTTATTTCCTTTTTTTGGCAAAGAAATCTACATCAAAACAGTGCCAAACAGTGTCTCAATAGTGTCAAATAGTATCTCAACAGTGTCAAACAGTGTCTCAACAGTGTACTCTACAGTAAAATCAAATTTCTTTTCTTATTTTGTGTGAAATCAAAGTGTGAAGGACTGAAGGGGAGACCAAGCCTGCAACAGTCAGCATTCAAACAATGGAGCGGGTGAAAAGGTGGACAAACTCCGTTAACTCCCCATCCATGGATTCTCCCTATCCATTGTGGCACCTTGCTATACCATATTTTCTGTTGGGTTGGAGCTACTTTGGGGTGAAAACTTCAAACTTGTGGTTTTCAACCCTACCATTGCAGTTAGTCTTAGGAGCTCTTCGATTGACGATTCGTCTTAATTCTTACTCATTATCCAATTTTATAAGATATCTTTATTATTCACTCGGTCAACACAAATCACTCTTAATCTCTTATTTTATATAACAAAATTTTATGAAATTTGAATTATTTTTTGCAGATTTTGTAACGGTTTTAATGTAGTTTCTGAATATGTAACTTTTTTTCCTAAAAATAATTTGAGTGCAGACAGGGATCTGTTTGCTTTATCGTCGGTCAAACATCGTAAACAAAAAAATATCTTATAATTCGGGACGGAGGGAGTATTAATTAATTCTTAATTTATTTAAATTGGATCGGGCCAGATCAGAAAGATTCAGATAAGATTAAAAAGATTCAGATCAAATCAATCTAAATCCGAAAGATTCAAACCAAATTAGAAAGATACAAATCATACCAGAAATATTCAGATCAGATTAAAAAACTTAAGACAAGATTTGTCACTTTTTTATGAAAAGATTTATCACTTTAATAATAATAATACTCAATAATTAAATATTTGCAATGAATGATACATACTAAAAAAATAAAGTCACTTGAAATCAGGGGCAGAGTTAGGGCACTAGGCCCGACTAGGTCGGTATAAAGGATTTTTTTGAAAAAATGTTACACCAAACCTTTTACTTTAAAAATTAAAGCAGTTTTTAAATTTGGGATGAGTTGGGGTCTAGGTTGCCCCCCCTCTCCTCCGCCCCTTCTTAAAAACTATAGAATCTAATTAAAAAATCAATATTTCTGGGGTAATGGATTTTAAAGTTATTTTTGATAAAAAAGAAGGGAAAATCGCATACATGGTCCCTCAGTTATCCATGAAATTAAAATCTCAGACCTATATTTCTGAGATTGTAAATGTCACCCCTCAATTGTCCAAATTAGTGTAAATGTGGTCCTTTAAGTAGTGAAATGTACTCTCGCCCACATTGTATATACACCAACAATAGTTATGATAATTATATGTGGAAAATACTCACCACGTATAAATGAAATTTTAATTATATGGTAGTAGTAATTTACATATATACTCAATTACTCATGACTCATCTATACGTGATTGCTCAATTTATTCGTAGAAGGTAATCAATTCTATCGGTATTAAATATTCTTTTCTAATGTAGGAAATTCATATGATATTTAATTGAATTACCTGATTACCTCTACATGATATGCACCACACCACTTGACGTAGTTATATCATTTAAAATTTATAAAAACGTACTCCGTATATGTTATAATTACTTCTACGTATCGGAAAATTAAACTCTATGATGAAAGCAATTAACAATTGGGTCGTATATCTCATATCTGGATAATTGAAGCATCACATAATTTTTGTTTAAAAATGATAGGATTTGACTCTTTGAGGCGGTGGAGATTCAATTTCCTCATCATTTTTTTGTATGTATATTACTATATTTTGGCGCAGTTATTTGCTAAAAAATTATTTAACTGTCTTATCGATTGAATTTTTTGCTCAAATTTTGTGGACATATTCTACACTTTCACGAGGAAAATGCTCAAATAAATTAATAAAAAAACCACTCCAAAACAAGGTCCGGCCCCGCCGGACAGACAGGAATACCACTCATGTATGTAGTATATAAAATTGACCATGAATGCTGAGTAACAACTAATGGTGTTCATTAATTTAATAATGTGTACGTTTTGTATTTATTTTCACCTAATTGAAGAATTTATAAGAAATTAATGTATGAAATAAATATAGGTAATTGCATATTTATGATTACAAATAGTTTTTTTTAATGTGACTTTTTAAGTTTACTAATTTTTATATAGTAGTACTTTTAATCTGTTGCTAAAAAGATATACGTAGTAGTAACTTTAATCATACTCGAATGTGTTCAATATTCACATTATAATATAATACTACCTCCGTCGCATTAACATTAGGACAAGAAGGGTGACACGATTATTAACAAAAAGTGAATGTATGTCATTGATATTGAATTGGTAAAGTAAGATAAAGTAAAACTGATTTAGAGTCATACAAATTTTACCAAATTTGACATGAGACAATCTTAATCGGATTTCGCGAAAAGGAAAAATGGGACAATCTAGGCGAGACAGGGGGAATAATAACTTTAGGGGGATTAGACTTTGCATCCCACTTTTTAGATGATATTAGACTTTGCATCCCATTTTGAAATAACTTTGATTTTGCACGTAAACACAAAACATTTTGTGAAGAAACATTTCTGAATGGGGTTCAAAGTCAAAGGTTTTTTAATTAAAGGAGTGTTTGCACTTCCTTAAAAAAAGTGCTTTTGAGCTTTTGGATTAAAAAAAGCTGAAAAGAGTGTTTTCAAATGACAGCTTCTGCTTAAATTAATCACTTTAAAGCTAAAAGTTGGAAGTAGGTGGAAGGGTGCTTTAAACTGCTTTTCACTTTTTCTATTACTCAAAAAGCACTTATTTTACCAAACACTACCAACTTTTACTTTTTCAGAATCACTTTTTTCTCAAACACTACCAACTTTTACTATTAAGTACTTTCTCCAAAATCACTTTAAAACATCACTTTTTTAAAGTAGAAGCAATCGCAAACACTCCCTAAGTAGAATGGGGTGCAAAGTCAAAGTTTTTTTAAAATGTAGTGCAAAGTCCAATATCACCCAAAAAGTGGAGTGCAAAGTCAAATTCTCCCTAACTTTAGTCATAGTCACTCTATATGTCAAAATGTCATTTAGATTTTAGCATGAGCCAAGGATAATATTTTTCTCATGGAAATTGATTATAGAAATACCGTATTTTTTGGTCGCAATCAACTGTATATGTTATAGTACACCAAGTTACCAAAAGTAAGCTATTCAAAATATTGATGAGTAACATTCATGACATGCTAAGCACTTTCATGTACAATTGACGTAGTATGACTAGTATTGTACCCGTGCGATGCACGGGACATTATTATTCATATGTTTGTCAACATTTTTTTACTACTTAAAATACTAATGATTTGAGGAAATAGGAATGCATGTATCATGTGATAAAAAGGAACATGTAAAATTATATATCACATGTAAAATTGATGTACTAAATACAAATATATTACTCGTATTATATTATGGAATTATTTGATTTTATGATTAATATGGAATTATTTAATTAAAAATATACTAATATCAAACGAAATATGTTGAGGTACGAAAGAAATACTCCATAATAGATTGTACATTTTAAAAATTTCTGGTTATATGACATCTAATTAAGGCACCATCAAAGTTTCTCGGTAATATTCTTTTTTGTGACCGTATGATGATTCGTGATCGACACGAAGTATATGTGTTGTCTTAAAGAGTGGCCTCCTTTGAGAAAGCTATTCAAACTCACTTCTATTGATTTGCAAAGTATTTCAAAAGTTTGGGTTGAGACTTTTTTTTAAATGCAATTTGGGTTGAGACATTAAAAACCCATGAGTCATAACAAGTCGATTGTATGGACTATTTAGACATGAAAGCAACCATGGTCAACGAGCTCTAGTGCTTCTTAGTTATCCGATCTGTTGAGAACTTTTATTACGGAGTATTTTAGATTTTTTTAATTTGTTTCATTTATTAGTGCTCGTAAGTCCTTTTTCTATCAATAAAGTATAATTTGTTCAAAAAAGTACTGTTGAGGTTTAATCCTGTAGATCTGAAAGCCCAACACAACTTTGGAATATTAGGGACGATTTACAGTAACAGTGATTAAGAAATGAGATTAAGTAACATTGCACTCAATAGCTCACTTGTATTAAAGCAATATTACTACAACATTACTACAATATTACTCAGGATGACGTGACCAAACCCAATTGGTTGCTTCCCTTGCCACTTGTGCACCCATGCCTCCACTTGCGACCTCTATACTCCAACATTTAATGGAGCTTGCCACTTGCAACATCTCTCGTTCGGGTATTGGGCTCA